AAAGAGACACAAAGTACATAATTGATTTTGTAGTAATTGGACAAGGATTACACTGAAAAAGACTTTGCTAGTTTCCAAAGGCAAAGAAACATGGGTAACCCCAAAACGCTGAGAGTGATGGTTACTTGCAATGTCTTCTGTCGCTTCGTTGTCACTCAATGAAAATGTCTAATGTACAAATGTAATGCCTTTTATTCTCTATGCAAATCTTTAATTTACTCTTTCTTCTACTTCTTCTTGAGTTCATGTAACTTTGGCCTATCACAAAGTTTGTATTGAGACTGATCTATGAACCGGCTCGTGAGCAAGTTTGTTTTTATCGGATTAGATTGGAACAAATATGGGTTCGAAAAAGAAACATGACCGGTGAGCTAACTCGTCACGAATCGAGCTTGTTACGGGCCCACTCGGCCGACAACAAATATTTCTAAATTATTCTTCAAACTTTTAAAGTGAATTTCTCGGTCTATCTTCTGAAAAAATGAAGAACTACATGCTTTTGAGCCCAAGTGCACTCAACAAGCTCGTCACGAATCGAGCTTGTTACGGGCCCACTCGGCCGACAACAAATATTTCTAAATTATTCTTCAAACTTTTAAAGTGAATTTCTCGGTCTATCTTCTGAAAAAATCTTGAATAATTTAAAGTGAATTTCTCGGTCTATCTTCTGAAAAAATGAAGAACTACATGCTTTTGAGCCCAAGTGCACTCAACAAACATACCATAATCCGATACATAACTCTAATTAATACGCTTCTATTAGAAATATAAACGGATATTATTAGATATATATATATACACACACGAGATTATAATATTTGTTAGTCTTCAAACTCACAAAGCAACTGTCTAACCATTCCCCAATCTTATCAGCCAAAACTCAAAAAGCTTTTCAATATGTCAAATAATAACAAAAATTATTTTTTCGAATATCGAAACAAGGACCAAGAAAAAGCATGTTTTTAAATTCAAATACACTTTGACCAAACTATACAAAAAAAACAAACCGGCCGTAACCGTATCACGTACTCTACAATATACATATTCCATTTTCAAAATTGCAAACCGTAAAGCATATAAGCATATGGACTATGTTTAATGCATTTGGTTCGGCCGTTCTTTGATATGCATTTGTGCTTCTTCTTTCTTTGTTACTATACACAAACCTCCTAATATATTTTCTCTCGTGCAAGAAAGGTTATCAAGTTTTTTTTTTTGGTAAAAGTGATTGTATTAAACTCAAAAATAACGTTTACAGCTAGTTTATAGATGTATACAAAAATATAAGATAGCCCATGTGGAAGTGGTAAATAAAAATTGGTCCCAGAAACGACCAAGAATTAATGTATCAAACCATCAACCTGACAGACGTGGCCTTGTGTTCTCAGTTAGAGAATAATAGTGCTGTAGGATGGAGTTACCGGTTTGTTACTATACACAAACCTCCTAATATATTTTCTCTCGTGCAAGAAAGGTTATCAAGTTTGAGTGGCCAATTGGTAATAAAACGTAGAAAATATGTTTTTATCCTAAATTTAAATCGAAACATGGAAAGGATATTCACTCGTACTTCCCAATCCCAATCCTTTGGAAGATATAATTAGACCAAAAAAATAGTAATTTTTCGGATTATAAAAAAAATTGTATTTTTCAAAATCCCGTGTGGTATTTCATTCAACAAAAACAACATCTAGTTCTAATGATATATGCATACAGGTGGTCCATATAAAAAGCACTTGAAGATGGGAAAATACAAGCATCCTACCAACTTACACAGACGAAGAAACCCTAGAGCAAGCGCGAACACACACACACACACACAGAGACGGTGGAGCAAATAGAGGCATTCAAACCCAAGCTTAGGCCGAAAGGCATCTTATCCGCCATCTTCAGGATTAGCCGGAGGAGGAGTAGGCGGCTTCGGGATATACGGGTTGATAGGGCTGCCGTGCTGTATAGGTCCTGGCCTGATTGAAGCTTTGGTCGTAGGAGACGGGTCGACCGTACCATAATCCTCCACATTGATCTCGCCTCTGTGGCTAGCCTCCTTGAGTTTCCAAGGGAAAAAGAGGTTGTGGTGAGAGGAAATCAGATCATGGATCGGAAAATGACGAGTTTGTTTTCAAGAACCCGGACCACTGATTTTCTCTAATGGTGTTTGTTTGTGAGATTGTTTTTAAAACCAAAACTGAAGTGCCATCACGTCTTACTTCATATGAAATCCAAAACTGCATGAGGTGAACACGAACTATTTATTTACCTTCAAGTCCTTGGATTTGGCCGAAGCCACGGAACCTCGTTCCTGGTCAGCGACTTCAATGTCTGGAACAAGATTTGAGTAAGCGTTTAGAACTATCGAGAAAAGAGACTAGATTCGGAATGAAACCAATTTCAAGATTTGGACCAGCATTTTGTGGGAAGAAAGTAGGAATATTTTCAGAAATCTGAGGAACTTTGCATCCGAAGTTGAGGAAATCGTAGGAGTGGAGACTAGAAACTTGTAATGAGCGTGACAACGAGCTAAACACCAGATTCGGGAAACATGCAAGTAGAAAAACAGACATGCAACGAGATTAAACTGATTCCTACGAGTCCCACTGACTAATTACAGAGAAAAGGTGGCTAAGTGGAGGAAAATGACAGGAAGATTAAGCAAAATAAACACAAGACACAGGGGAAGAGAGAAAGTGTACCAGTAAATTCATTGGAGGAAGAAGCAAGTGAAATGCAGGGGAAAAAGAAGAGCAGAGCTAAGAAAAGGGACAGAACCCATGACTTCAACATCTTCAAACTCTTGCCTCTAGATCCGACATTCCTGTTCCAACCATAAAAAAACCAAGCTATAAGAAAGAGAGATAAGAAGGCGTGGCTGAATATCAAGAAGCCATGCCTTTGTTACAGGTTTCAGAATACAAACTATATGGTCGAGAGTGAGAGTAATAAAGGAGGAGCATGTGGGTTTTGGACCTCTGTCTTCTTCTTCTTCTCTCTCCCTCTCTCTCTCTACATTAAAGGAGAGAGAAGAAGAAGAAGCTCAGTAATTGATGTTGTATATTTAATGTCTCCTGAGAACCATTGAAGAAACCAGGAAGACTTTAATAGCACTTTTTGGAGACATGATGGAGGCTCAAACCGGGTCCGATTGGCCACGCCTCCTTTTCTTTATTTTATTTTTTATTTTTGCACACTCCATTTTCTTTCAAAATTATTACTTTTTTTTTATACATTTCTAACACACTTATCAATGCACAAACATATGACATAAGTCAGTATTGTGATTATCATAGATAATCGTAGCAAAATGTTGTGGAGGCCCACTTGGTAAAAATGTGATATTTTTACCAATCAGCTTTAACATGCAAGGAAAGATCTTGCCTTTGTAAGTGAAAAAACCCCAAACCTTTCCCCTGACTCTATGATCAAAACTCAAACCATCTTACTCATGGCAAAAAGTTCCAACCTTTTTTTAGCATGGGAGGCTGCTTATATGGTTTTAAGAGAGAATCAGATGCAAAAGACCTTCAAAAGTTTCTGCGGAGACTCGGACTCGGAGCTCTCCTCGCCCATTCCAACAGGTTCGAGCATGTTTTCCTCGGTGTCTGATCCAGCTCTTCTTTCTTATGAATCATATCCCATAGGATATGGATGTCGTCGTACTCGCTGGTTCTCACGTCTTTCTTCAGCTTCAGCAGCCCTTTTTTAAGGAGGAAAAAACAAGAAACTGTCACTCGAGTTAACCATGCATTTTGCATATGGAACTGAAATGTCCATTCATCCACACACAATACAACGAGACAAATGTTGCGATTGACGGATATATTGGCATAGAGGGAATGGAGCAACAACTTCATCCGAGGCTCGGTGAGCATGAATCATGAGATTGCAGGAATTGGATAGAGAGTATGAGTTGAATGGCCATGGGGTTTCCAATAATTTAACCTAACTGATGAAGCAATTACCTACAACCATACTTAAAACACTGGCAGCAATGAAGATTGGTATGGTCAGTTTCCATACCAATCACGACTTAGTCAGAACAAATATCAGCAGAAACGATACTCTCCAAAACACAAACTCAGGATCATTTTGAGTATATATTCGAAATTATATCAGCGGTTGAATCCCACATCTCGTCACGCTAACCTAGAATCCGAATTCTGGAAACCCTAGAGGCAAAATCTATCATCCTTAAAAAAAAAGCAGAAAGTCATGATATCAAACACGAATCTCAAACAAACAGAGCCCATTCAACCACAGAAAACAGAGACAACACCATGGCCGGGGTATCGCCAGATGAGACTTACCGGTACTACGGATACGGAGGCGGATTGCGACCCTTCTCCAGATCCTACGGAAGCGGAAGATGGTCTTCGCCCACCGACCCTCCATCGCCATGGATCGGCGGATCTCGAACTCCAAATACAGAGAGAAAAACGGTGACGAAGAGAGAGAGAAGATTAGGGTTACGTGGCGCCGGCGATGAGCCTTCGCGCTCGTCCACGCGTGTGTTTTGACTCTGGTTCGATGGTTTACTCTCAGAAATATTTGGGCCCCACCTGTTTTCGACACGTGTCTTCTTCCAGCACCAGAATCTGATTCTGTAACTTTTTTTTTACTACTTTCCGTCGTTCTTTTTTTTTTAATCAGAGTCAAAGTTAGATTTGTTTGTTTTGAATATTTTGGGTTTTGGTTTGAATTCGGACAGTCGAAATTACGTGGAGGATTATCTAAACTTGGGCTCTGAATTACGGCTCCATGAACATACAAAAATGGGTCGATAACGTATGCATTTTGAATGTTTCGTGGGCTTGGTCTTTGTCGCTTTGTGTCCTAAGCGCTTGTTGGGTTGTGGATGAGGATATGGCCCAAGCCCATGAAAGGCCCAACTTGTTCAGTGGTATATTATTCAAAATTTTGGTATTGATTTTTTTTTTTTGGAGGTAACCGACTTTTGCACATTCTGGAAATCACCGAAATTATATTCGTTTAATTCGATAATTTATTTTGAAGTTTTGAAATCGCTTAAATGCAATTAAATACACAAATCTGACTTCTCGAATATTCTGAGAAATCCGGAAAACAAGGCAATAAAATCTCGATATGATTTTGTTTTTAACTGTAAATTAATTTATTATTATTGCATTTATTATCTTTCCAACATTACAATACAAGGTTCGAGGAAATGGTCAACATAGTCAAACAAGGCAAATATCATCGTAGGTTTTAAAGAAAAAGCTGAGAAACCAGACGACATAGGGTTCTGTCCTTTCGGTAAAAAGCGGATTTATATTTTATTTACCAACGGTAGAAATAAAATAAAATGCGGTGAAAAAAAAAGTTTTATTTGTTGAGATGAGGGAAACAGGTGTAGAGATCGGATTTAGGATGCTTTGCCTCCGCATGTTCTCTGCATTTCACCTCCGACGTTGTGCATATAAACGTCTGCATGCACACCTTGCACTTCATAACCATACAACGTTCATTCATCAGTAAATAATCGTAACAACAATACATATATATACACATATATGTATATGTATATGTGTATGTATGTATGTATGTATAGGCGTGTGTAGAAAAACCTGGATGGACATGGCTTTCTTGTTGGCTTCGAGCTGACTTCCTGCATCAGACAGCGAATCCATAATTTTTTTTAAAAAAAAAAATACACAATGCATCGAAAACGCAAACCCGTCAAAGTGAAGTTTCAATATGTATGTTGTTCCATGATTATGATGATGTGAACCAAAATATGTTATCTCTAATAAATCATTGAATACAAAATCTTACGGGGTGCAGTCCAAACATCATGCACATATAAGGCTTGAATAAGATAAGATAGACTTTGGTTCAACTTCATATATACTTGGTATGAGTTTTTTAATTGAGCAGGTGTCCTAAACGACGTTCAATTAATTATTAACCGATATCTTTAAATCTTGTATATTCATACTAATTAATTCTCGTTCGTTCCTAGATCAACACACGGAATAGTAAAAGATTGATCTCAAAGATTGCTCCGTTCCATGAAAGGGTTCCAATCCCTAACTTCTACTTAAGTGACGAATATGTTAAACCCTATCATACTAATTAATCCTCGTTCATTCATAGATCAATATACAAGACGGTAAAAGATTATCCATTATTAGTATGATAGGGTTCGAATCCCTAATCTCTACATAAGTGACGAAAAAGCTAAACCACCAATCCTTGAGGTTCTTGATTTACATCCAAAGGATCTTAGGTTTTATTATCATTGTGTGTGTGTGAGAGAGAGAGAGAGAGGGAGAGAGAGAGAGAGGGAGATGTTGTTTTACCCTTGGCAGCTTTGTTCTTCTCCATGTTTCTCTCGCGAGCCATCCTCGATTTTTGCCCGTTGCCTCCTCCCATGGCTTATCGAAAAATACGGAGAGAGAGAGAGAGAGAGAGAGGCTTGTATTGGTGTGAACCTATGGCACTCACGATAGCACTTATATATATACAGAGAAGTTTCAATGCAGTCAAGACAATAGTGCATTGATCGATTGATTGATTTGAGGGGGAAGCAGACCTAACCTCACTTTATTCAAAATGTATAAAAACACAATACAAAGTCAATGACACTCAAAACGCCTCTATATATAATTGTAATCCACATTTTGGTCCGTAGTTGCTCTAAAAAGTAACAATAAATACTCGTACGTCGTATATAAAATGAATTCCCCCGGGAAGCCCGCCATACCGGCATCAGATACATCCCGACACGCGCGTAGCTTGAGCCGCGTCAGATTCGGACACCTTTCGGAGATCTTCACGAGCGCCTCATCTCGTACGTCGTATATAAAATGAAAATCATTTTCGTTACATGATAATGTTACCTCTAATCGATTAACAAAGAGAGAGAGAAAGCAGAAAAAACACATACATACATACATACATACATACATACATACATACATACATACATACA